CCCCCCCATAAGAGACATCCTGTCTTTGGGGAGGTAGAATGAAGAGAAAAATATTTTATCTTCCAGAGTTTTGGCTACATAGAGCAGGGGCAGAGCCTAATGTTTAACTCATTCTCTTTCCCTTTCCTGCTTAACAGAGCTGAAACGGTAGGTGCAGCTGAAGACCAGTCTCCATGGATGGATCCACGATTTTGAAGAGAGCCAAAAACATTCTGCAAAGCTGTGAAATAGGAGAAGAGAGACCAGGAGCAGCTAGCAGACCACAAAAATTCCTGAAGAAAGGTTAGCTTGATTAGTGAACATTATGGCTCTCCTTTGAAAGTGGCCTTTAAGTCAACTGAGTCCCTCAGCTGCTTGAATTGAAGTGGATGGAGGGGGTACACCTGTTTCAGGCAGAAAATAAGCCGGTGTTTTGGCTTTCACTGCACTCCCCTCCTTCCTTTTTTGGCTCCCTTTTTGGGGGGTAGGGGATGGAGAGCTGACTTAAGGGTGGGTGGGGAGGGAGGGAAAGGTGTATTTATGACAACACATGCAGTAGACTTTGAAATTTAACTTCAGCCGAATGACTAAAAAAATACCATTTAGTTGGTCTAATAAAAGACCATCACGTTTACCCAAAGTATCTTGTCTGCCTAAAAAAATACCAAGCCCTTATTGCTACTGCTGTTGTCTTGGCTGAAGATAGTTTTCTGCAAAGCTGAGCTAAGTTTATCATGATGTAGATTACAGCAACGATTATTTTGATCAGAAAAGTCTAGAAACTTAAAGGGTAGAGAAGGGGTCTGTTTTTTACGTGCCTAACTAGGGTCGCCTCTGTGCACCTAATTAGTTCTGGTAAGTAAATGTTGGTTACCTAGGGTACTGGAGACAGAAACATGTTTCGGAATAAAATCACGTGTGGAAAAACTCAACTTGAAAAATTGATGGTTTTTCTCTCTTTACAGGCATAATGGCCCAAGCGACGACACCAGCATTATCAGGTCATGATGAAGAGACCTCTGAAAGCAGAATGGTGGTTACCTTCCTTATGTCAGCACTGGAGTCAATGGTTAGTTAGTACAGATAGTTGATCAAGTAGTTACAGTGGTCTCTCAGCATATAGAAAATTATACTAGTCCCTTACACAACACTGACAAATAATTATTGCACGCCATTTTTCATTTACCTTTCTGCTCAATAACAGACTGTTCTATAAATAGAACAAATGTAGAAGAGTGAATTAATGGTAGAATGTGTTTTTTAGCCTGGTTCTCAAGAAAGTCTGTCTCCATTCTGTACCCAGGGAAACCATTCTGATGATCACTGTAACTTTTGACCCTAAAAGGGACAGGCCTTGAAATGAGAGATTATGCTATTATGATAGGTGCGATGGGGGGCCATCCCCGGCTAGTCACAGTATTGGCCTGCCCACCTGTCTTGCCTTTGCTGTAATAAAATAAGTAATTGTTTCTAGGTGGAAGGCTGTCCGTTTTATGCCCTGATGCCTAGGGCATTATGCACAGCTCTGACCTCCCCTTTATTGTGTCCCATGCCTCACAAATGGCATCTAAAGTACTCCTAACTCCCCATGCCTCACTACTGGGCCATATTAGGTCATTGGCCCAAACTACCCACTGTTACTCCCCCCAGCCCCCTTACTGGGGCCTCAACTCATGTCCCCTCACTGGTGCTATGGTGCCTTGCAGCCCACGGGCCTCCAGTGTCTGTAGATGTGCCTGGACTCCACTCTTGGCCTATGGCCCACTCAGACCTCAGCTGTCCATAGATATGCCTGGACCTCACTCTCCCTCAGGCCTCTCACTAGGCCTCACTCTTATCAGGCCGTGGACCTCAGGCTGTCTTGGCCTCCATGTTCTTGCTCAAGCCTGGTGCTTCTCCGTTAGGGTGTGTTCCCTTAGCCTTTCCCCTCCACGGGGTACCCACAAGGCAGCAGGGGCTGAGGCTTTACAGTGCCCCATACTCACCATTCACTAGGGAGCCACTGGTTGCCATTCCCTGAGGGCTGCCATGCCACCAACAGCCGCAGCACACCATCCTTCCTAGCAGGGTGTAGTTTTAGGTCATGCCCCAGGACCAATGCAGGCCTATCTGCCCTGGTCTATTCTTATTGGGCTCCTGTATGTTATACCTGGCTGCTTGCTCTCCTGGGTCCTCTGTTGTAACTTCCATCTGCCGGCTTCTTTTCTTGTGGCCCCGACTCTAGACCCCTTATCGGATGCCTCCCATCCAGAGGCTGTGCTTTAGCCTCCTTCATCACAGGCTGCTGTCCAGCTGAGCCAGTCTTCCCTTTAGTATGATGTGTGTCGTTTTCCCCCCCCTCCCCATCAAAGGGACCTTCAGCCTCTCTAGGCTCTGGCCCCACCAACAGGCCAGATAACTCTCCGCAGCCCTGGCCTGCCCCTCACTGTAGGCGTGCCTGCCCTTCTGCCCCTTGGGCCCTGGTTCCGTCCTGGACCAGTTGGGATGACCTGGCCTCAATGGAGCAACAGCTGACCCTCTTATTCCACAGGGGTCCTTCTCTAGGCCCCACTGTAAACAGCCATCTCTTACTGGGCTTGTCTAGAGCCTCAGAGATCTTATAGAAGGCAGCCCTTCACTCAGCTGGCTTCACCTGAGCAGGCCCACAAGCTCTAGGCCCCTTCCTAGGCTGGGTCTTGCTCACCCTAGGTCCCAGAACCTTCCCTTGGGCTTGGGACCCCACTGGGCCCCTAAGAACCTCCGCCATCCCCATAATTCCTACCTTAGACCTGCAGGTGTACCTGGGAGCAGCAGGTCTTAGGCTGGTGATGTTACCTCAGCAGCAGTTCTGCAGCAAATGGTGGCTCCACCCCTCAGGACCTTCTGTTATGCTGAGGCTGTGCAGCCCAGCTCCAGTCAGGTGGCCTGCTATCTGTCATGTGACTGCCTGATTGGATCTGCAGTCACCTGCGGGCTGCCTCACAGCCTGCTCAGGCCCTTAAAGTGGCAGGCATCAAAGGTGCCCTGTCACAGTGGGATTTCATATATTGTTGCAAGGGATTTTGTGGTTTTGAGTGCCAGGTTAAGCTACGCTGGTCTTAATTGTCCTCTGCCAGTATGTCTTGCTCATTTGGCTACAGTTGCTTAATAGGTGAAGTTGAAGCACAGGAAAAGTTTGGCTTAAGCCAACAGTTGAAGTAAAATCAAACTGTTGAGCTTAAAGGTACTAAAAATGTGTGCTGATTGAAAACAGCAAATATTAGCCATTCTGTGGCTAGATCGGGGTGGGCAATTATTTTGGGTGGAGGGGTGTAGTTGTGGGGTATGTAGTTAGGGTGGGTGGAGGTGTGTATGGGGGGAGGGGGGGAG